TCACCTGTTGTCACTGAATGATTGTTTTGTTATTAGGAGATCAGACTCAGACCACTAGTGAAAAATCACTGCATCATTGATGCAGTTAAGACTCAAGACTCCAGGGGTTCCGATGCTTTTTCATGTCAAGGACCCCCAGTTTGAGAGAATTTTGTCATAAGGAATCCCCTCTGAGTAGTGTTTTAATTCTAGGTTTGAAGATAATAAGTCAAAGTCTTCACAGTCAATCAATAATCAAACTGGGATCACTAAATTACAATCAATCAAAACAACCAACCCTATTTCTTCCCTTGTTGTCCCAAATTCCATTTTTTTTTAATAAAAGTTAAAACATTATATTTCTCCTTTTCCTGGGGACCCCTTACAGCCCACTATTGTCTGTAATACTATTATGGTCACTATTATCCCGATACTGATTCTGCACTCCAAAGAAAAACTGTTTTTATGGATCATCTCAACTCTGAAAACATGTGTATGTCTGCTTCCCCCTGTAATTCATTCCTTCATCACACTGGTGACATCAACAAACGCTGCCAACAAAGACTCTCTGCCATCCGCAAACTAAATGCACTTTCTGTTGCCCCCCAACTTCTGTTATCAAGCTTCTGTTATTACTCTATAAAAGCAATAGTCCAACCCTTCATCCTCTACTGTTCAACATGCTTCTACAAACATGTTAACTGCCTCAATAGGAACATACTGACACGCTCTACACCACCAAACACTCCAAAACATTGGTCTCCCCAAAACTCCCCAACCTTCGGACCTTCAAACAATACAGCCCATTACAGCGCAGAGCACACGTATAAGCACACGACCCAGCACACCCTCAACTCATTATGTCGTACTGCTGCCATCCCGGACCGCAGATACCAGGAAAGTGGCCTGTAACGTGCTGCTAATGGCAGGAAGGTTTTGTACCTTTTGCATAGCGTCTTTAAACAAGGGCATCCGGTAACAGCCGTGAGTGAGTGCCTCGCACAGGACGGAGGGGTAGAATAATTGCTAAATGTGCTGTATTAAAGTGTTTATTCTTGTTGTTAATGATGTCGTTGTATCTATGTAATGTATGTACAGCTGGCGGTAAACTGTGAAGGACAATAAAGTATATTATTATTATTAATGCTAGCCTCCAAAACATAATGATACAAACTGCCAAAAGGATGCATCACTATACTCAACCCTGTGTGGAAGAAATCACTTGATATATAACATAACAAATAGAGCATTATACTGTCATCAGAAAACTGCAGATAAGAAAGGTGAGAGGAGGCAGGGCTCATGTATTAACTTTCTTTCACTTCTTTTGAGTTGAGTCTGGAATACAGAGAATTTGGTAAGGAGAGTCGTGCACAGAGGGAACATTGCATGCTCATTAACAGTATGAGCGTGATTCTGCAGACTTTGGCCAGTGAAATTTCCAGAGCCCATAGATAATAAAGATATCAGTGTTATTGATAAGTGTTACATTTTATTGTCTAAATTAGTTACTAGTGTACCAAGGGTCACTACATTACTGACCACATAACCCTACAAGCTATTTTGTCAGAGTGGAAGTTATTTTTCTGCATCACATTGATCTGTAAAGGACTTCAACTGCAACCTTGTAGAGAGAGAGGACATTTAAAGTAATATTTGGCTACCAAAATTGTTTTTAGTATCAAACTCAGAATGAGGCTTATCTTGCTCCTTCACAGAAGAACAGCTGTAGTCAACTTGACCTCACAGCAGTTGGAGTTCAATATCTATCTGGACTCTAAATAAAGATCAAAATGTTCATTTAAACTTCTCTGCCACTGATCCGTATGTTTGAAATGTTCCAGACACTTCTTTTGTGTGTTTGGTGAATTGAGGACTATTTAGAAAATAGTGAACATATAGAGCAACCGGGAGAAATGGATTACACTGCAGAACTACCGTAAAAGTTAAACTAAAAGCAGGGTCCCTAAAAGAGGCAGGTCTCCTTTTCCCATGGTCCCAGGCCTGTTCTAAATAAAGGCAGGTTGCGTTCAACGATTTGAGCAAATAAAATCCTGGTCTATTAATGGCAGTTTTACAGCAGTCTGAGATGTTTCTATGGATGTTTTGATTTTTGCGGTTTCTGCCCTGGAGTCTATGTCCATGGAATCTGAACTTTGTAGAGCCACCATTCAAGCCTACAGGTGGTCAGTATTTGATACTCAAAAGATAGCTCTTCTGGAGAATATTCTGATAGGTTTGCCTTGAGATTCAGAAAGAAACATGTAAGACCATTGATGTCCAGACCAATTTGTGAAGGCAGTGAGAGATCCTTGGCCCCATGGGTTTATACTTGATGCAAGGGCTTGTAGAGTATAGGTTTTGATCGGATTTCCCCCTTTGATATCACCGGAAACACTATATAGATCCATTGGCAGGGATGGAAAGACTCCTGAAATATTTTACTCAACTAAAAGTATCCTCACTTTAAAGGAATTTTACTCAGTATTTCTGTAAAAATGCAGGACCAGTGTGTAGGATTTAGTGGCATCTGGCGGTGAGGTAGATTGCAGATTGCAATCTACTGAATACCGCTCCCCTTAGGAGAAACTCTAGTAGTCACAAAAAACATGAAGGGCCCTCTCTAGAGCCAGCCTTTTGTTTATCCATTTTAGGCTACCATAGAAACATAACGGTTCAACATGGCGGACTCCGTGGAATCTAGCTTATCTTAAAGTAAAGTAATTGAGTATAATCCTAAACACTAATTCACAGGTGAAAAATGAACATGCTTTTACTCTTGTGTGTTTCCTTTCAGTTCTGTCATGCTCTTAGTGTTTTCTCTCTTTGTTCCTCAGAGGGATCCCAGGGAACAAATGTGGCACTATCAAGCAGCTGCTGAGTGAGAAAGGCATAATAATCTTCCCTGCCAAATACACATTAGCAGGCAAGCATATGTCAGCAAAGCCCGGGTTAAACAGACTCACAAAAAGTGGATTGAGCTGGAAATTGGGAGAAACTTTGGAGAAACTACAGTGGACGCACAAAAAACTCAAAAACCCCTACCTACAGTCAGTGTTTGTTTGGCCATTCTGGGCTACTGTAGAAACGCCTAACTTTACATTACTACATTACTGCTGTGGAAGCACTTTTCTGATTAATCAATGTGACAAAGGTCACATTGATTAACACATCTGAGGTTATCTTTCTCGGAACATACTGTAAATAGTGGTTGCAAACATTAGTAAAATATAAACAGAACTGATAAAAGGTACAATAAATTAACAGTGAATGAACTGAAACCCAGCCCTCTGATACAACACACTGAAAGAGCTTATAGCCATAAATTAACACATGCTTTAAACATTTGACTTTCACAGATTATAATGACCTTGTAATATTTATCTGCTTGACAATAAACTGACAGAAGACCCAATGAGCAGTGGAGAGGGGTGTCTCACTGCTCATTGGGTCTTCTGTCAGTTCTTTTGAATCTGGTGAAGGTCGAAATGTACTGGAGACTTATATGTGGATTCAGGTTTCATAATTTTCTGGTTTCTTATAAATCAAAACATCCACATCCAGGTTTTGTTAGTCTTTCCACAGTCTATCCAACAATCACCAACTCTGGTTTGGTCTTAATTCATTGAGTTAGAGGTGAAAATATTTATGAAAAGGGCTGCAATGGCTGCAGCGTAAGCTCCACTAACAGTTCTCGTTTTTGACACTGACAGGCTCATTCAAAGTGGACAGAAACAAAACGAGTAGGGGTCTTTCAAGTTTTTGTCACAGACTGTAAAAAATATGGAGGTAGTCTATGAGACTATGTCCCCCATAGGTTTCTGAAGAGCCATTGTGAAGCTCAGTGTAGTCGGCTCTGGCCGTTGCCATCTTGGCAGTCCTGACTCCACTGGCTCCTGGATAATGGGGAAACATGCAGAGCGTGGGTGGAGCTGAGGCGGGCTAAATGAAGCCTGGTTACTGAAAACAGCCACCTGTGACTGCATTCACCTGTCACTTAAAGAAGCCATCCCCTTAATTATGCATAACTTTAAGCCTTACTATAATTCCATTCATGGAAACCAATGAATGCAGTTTATTTTCACATGATAAACTTGTATAATATAAACTGAAAAATTAAAATTGACTTGATAATGCTTTTCAAGTCAGTTTGCACTTAAACTCCATTGACTCACAATGATAATGATGCATTTTGACAAATATCATTGTGGACCTCATTGATTGAGATGAGTGACATAAGTCAAGAAAGTTTCAACAACAACAATTTCGTATTTGGAAACTGAAATCGACAAAGTATCTGATCAGAACAACAACTCCACAGTCTTTATGTGCCTTGAGGTAAAATCATAACACAGAATGACATGTCCTTTGTCCCCCCAGCCTGTGCATGTCAAGCACTGTCAGCAACAACATATCATAGTTACACTGATATTAAAAGATGCAGGGACGGTTTGGAGTTGAGTTTCAAATATGGGTCTCATGTTAAACATGCTTGAGGTGAAAGTCTGAAAATGGGTCACTCTAAACTGTACAATGAATATATAGGCGTCCTGATCTATTAAATGTGAACTAATCACAAAAAGTTTCAGTGACTGGATCATTTGTTAGAGGTGAGCAACAGGAATTAATTATACATTCTGCATTAATTCATACATTAAATCACCATGAGTTAAGCATTAATTAAGAATCGCCTAAGTATATGATTAGTACCTTTATTGTAAAGTGTTCCAAAACACAAAACTTTGCATTTTAATTAAAACAGAAAAGAGCACTTTCACACCATACACAGTGGCCACTGACTCGTAAAATAGTACTTTTAGTTTCTAATACCACTGTATTAAAGGATACTTAGGATAAGCAAACTGAATACTTCCACCACTGCATGCGACTCATAGTAATATGATCTGTAAGACTGGAGTGATGTTACACTGTTTATATATTTTCTACTTTTCTCTCTGCCCCACAGTGTGATGTTCCACACAACGGGAGATCCCACTGGGAAGAGAGCACAAACAGCTAAGATGAATGTAGCAATAGCAAGTTTAATTGGTAAGAAATTGCATGTGGTATTCCTATATTTCTCTCATTTTGCTGTCAGTTGATTCAACTGTAATAACATGTGAATGGTGTCTCTTGCAGTGGCTCTGCAGTTCCTTTCAGACTGGTAAGCAGTACATTTTAATAACAGGAATAACAGATCATGTTTTAATTCAACTACATGCAAAGCTAATGTTTTTTTCCTTGAGCCAGCAACCACAGCCAAACTGGTATGTTATTTTAGCAACTGGTCGCGGTACAGAACTGGTGTGGGGAAATTCCTGCCAGAGAACATGGACCCCTTCCTTTGCACCCACCTGGTTTATGCCTTCGCTGTCATCAACCATGCCAATGAGATTGATGAGTATGAGTGGAATGAGAAAATCCTGTACAAAAACTTCACTGAGCTCAAGAACAGGTAATGATTGATCAGTTGAAATGATGTATACTGGAGTGTACACTGGGATTTTCATGTTCTTTTTGTGTCTGTTCACACACAGAAACACCAGGCTGAAGACTTTACTGTCGGTCCTAGAGGACAGCAATGGACCTCAGTGAGTGGATTAGCTATTGTTAACTCCTTATGAAACTCCTCCATCTGCTGACAGAAAGCAAGAATGGCATGGAAGAATTTTATTTGACTGTTTTGTCAAGTTGGTTGTTTGGCTGTTAAGAATGAGTACTAACTGAGTATTGCCTTGTTAAGTCAGTGTAGGTACCTTTTGAAATGTAAATTGAATCTAATAAGGCATTTCATTCCATGGAGTATTTTGCAAACACACATTACTAGCATGAAGGAGAAGTAGAGGTGGAATACCAGTAGTAGTAGTAGCAGTAGTAGTAACAGTTGAGTTTTTCAATTCAATCCAATTCAATTCAATTCATTTTTATTGTATAGCACCAATTCATGACGAAGTTATCTCAGGACACTTTTTAAAATAGAGCAGGTCTAGACAACTCCTCATAGCATTATTTACAGAGACCCAACAGTCACCATGAGCAATCCGTGGGGGCAAGGAAAAAACTGCCTTTTAAAGGCAGATACCTAAGAGAAGAACCCTTCGGCTTAGGTGGGGGTGAGTCCCATGTGGGTGGAGAGAGAGAGAGAGAGAGAGAGGAGAAGAGAAGAGAGAGATAGAGAGGAGGAGAGAGAGAGAGGAGAGAGAGAGAGAAGACAGACAGCAGACAGACCAGACAGACAGACACACAGCCAACAACAGTTACAACACTACACTAATAGTAGTGACTGATGAATGATGAACATAAGAAGATGATGATGACGACAACTTAATCCCTTTTTGGCAAAGTGCCAATACAATGTTAAACCAGATAAGTTTATAAGTTTAATTTAACATTTAAATCAACATTTGAAACTGATTACATAGACATTTTTAAGTAAAACTAACAAGACAAATATTGAAAACAAAATGCCTAGTAAAAAGTTATTAAAAAGGAATGTTGCAACTTACAAAACTATGTTTGTGCCACTTGAAATTACTAGTAAAAGTGTCTTAATCAAGAATCTTTTTTAACCTAAAAAATGGGTTTATGTTGAAATAAACTTAACTTAAAAAATGATTAGTTTCAACTTTTTTTTGAGTTAAATTAACTTAACTGGTTTTACAGTGTAATCAATATTTTTAAAATATCAATTTATCAAATCACAATGTGACAATGTGAAAGGGGTCACATAGTGATGAGCTTACAGAGAATTATCAGCTCTTTCCAGACCTTTATAGAGTTTCAGCTCATTGTTTAGCTATCTAGGCCACAACTGTACTGTTCTGCTTCCCTCTCACTGCTCTCTTACTGTAGTTTTCAGCTGCAGCAGGTTTCAGTGAAATTGCTCTAAAATCAGCAGACGCAGTTAGAGACTAGCTGGTGAACATAGTTGAACATTTCGCAGCTAAAGAAACAGATATTTAGTTTGTTTTATCCAAAAAGATCTACTTGCATTCATCAGGTGGACACCAACCCAACTACAAATGAAGGCTAATGTTGCTCTGTTGAAACTGCTGAAAAAAAAGTTTGCCATATCAAGGCTTCAAGGTTATTTTATTGTAATTTAGTGTAGTAATTTGTGTGTGTGTGTTTCGTGGTCACCATAGATTCTCCTTTGCACTTGGAAAGAGAGAGTGAAGCGAGTTGCAACTACGGTATTTGCTTTTGGCATTTTTTTTTATTTTGATACTGTGGAGACAAAAATGTCAATCAATTATTTGAAAAAATAGTATAGAAAAAAAGTTGTTTGTTCCAAATGGTTCAGTCGGCTTTCAGAAGTCTGTTCTTTATGGAGTCAAACTGCAATTTTAGAGAACCAGCAACTTTCTCATCATCTACTGCAGGTTCTCCCTTATGGTGTCCACTCCAGCCAACCGTCAGACATTCATCCAGTCTTCTATCAAAATTCTGAGGTCCCATGGATTTGATGGTCTGGATCTAGACTGGGAGCAACCTGGAGCTGGTGGAAGGCCTGCAGAGGACAAGCAGAGGTTCACTCTGCTGTGCAAGGTACACTGACTGGAGACCAGGGGTAAAAAACATTTAAAAAAGGGACTGTTCAGTGTTTGCAGCCTGTTTACATCCAACACAATGCACTGTAACTGTGGGACACTGTAACCAAATCTAAAGTGGAACACTTGAAATAGTTCCCCTAATCTTAAGTATCGTTTGACACTTGCAGACCCTCCCTCCTTTGTATCACTTTAAAAGTTTTAAAAGTTAGACTGTTAGAGCAGTGCCTTATCAGGTTACTACCATCACTCATAACAAAACATTGCACTTGGCACCCTCCTTTCATTCTTTTGTTCTGTCATTGAGTTTCATAATAACTAAAATGAGTGCACTGCAGATTTCTGCATTAAAATGTCTATAAACACTGGACCTATGTTCTTGTAGAACATGAAATCTGTCATTTCAGTAAATTACGAAAATCATCTAGTAGGAAGTTAAAACTTGTTACATAATTCATCAGTGAGCATTGTTTTTGTACACATCATTGTGTTACCATATTTGTTGGGACCTGTTATTGACATAATGCATTCCCTAGCCCCTTACTCTAACCTTAACCATCACAACTAAGTGCCTAACCCTAACTTAATTTTAACCTTAATGCTAAGTCTTAAACGTCAACCAACCCCTTAAACTTGTGGGGTCCAGCATTTTGGCCCCCACGAAGCTGTTGACCCCACAAGTATAGTGGGCTCCTGGTTTTTGGACCCCACAAATATAGTACTACAAGCCTACACATCACACACACATTTAACAGTTACGGTACATTAGATATGATGTCCAGTGTGATGCGTTATCATTTTCATGTCAAGTCCTGCAAGACTGCAGCTGCCTGGAAGGAGGGAGAAAATCAAAAGTGGTTTGCAGTAATATAAAATATAGTATGATTTGTTGTTCTGAGGCACATTTCAGATTACTGACTAAAGTGTAAATGGTTTTCTATTGATCTCTAGGAGCTTTCAGAGGCCTATAGAGCTGAGAGTAAAGGACGAAGTAACACACGACTGATGCTGTCTGCAGCCGTGGCAGCACAGGCAGATGTGATTGATGCAGGATATGAACTCTCTGAGACGTCAAAGTAAGACTTCTGCTTGTATCAGCTCCAGTTTGTGTACTTTTGACCGCATCTTTCTGTGGTCTATGGGTGTGATTTTGTGTGATTCTGTGTGTGTTTAGGTACCTGGACTTCATCAGTGTTAAGACGTTTGACCTTCATGTTGAACAAGATCGAGTGACCGCCCACCACAGTCCAATCTACAGCAAAAACAATGCTAACATAGTAATTCCCCATTTTTAATGTACAGTACCAGTCAAATATTTGAAGGTCCAGTGGGTATTTTTGTAATGTTTGGATCAAATAGTCTAAACATAATCAGTGATTGTGTGCTGCAAATTGGTTTGATAGAAATTCTTCTCTTCCCTTTTTTTCCTGTCAGGACTATGTTATGCAGCACTTGATGGAGCGAGGAGCCCCAGCAGGGAAGTTGTTGCTAGGTTGTCCTACTCATGCCCGTTCCTTTACACTCTCCACCACAGCAACAGGCCTGGGAGCTCCAGTCAGTAGGCCTGCCAGTCCTGGGCCCTACACACAGCAGATTGGTGTCTGGTCTTACTATGAGGTAACAAGAACATATTTACGTAGCTACATTTAGCAGAAGTCTACTGCCACTAAGCATTTTCATTATAGAATGCCTGATAGTCACTGGTATATCCAGTAAACAGGTTTGCCATAGTACTGAATATTCTCAGCTAATGTTCTGCTTATGGATTTGTCTGAGTCATACAAACTAGTCTGTAGGAGTTAGTGGAATCTAGTGGTATTTATGCTGACTCCAATGCCGTCACCCACCCCCTACATTTGAAGTGTGTAGGAGTAACTATGATTGCCACCAGTAGTATGTACAGGGAGATGGAACCACCTGCTAGGCATTGCTGCCGGTCGCACCTCCTCCGGTGCCCACGGGTCAGCTGCAGGGTCATCAGCCAGGAACCACCGATCACCAACGTTTCGCTCCTTTAATCCTGGAACGTTTCCTGGTGGCGGAGCAGTGACAGGGACGTCTCCCTGTCACCCCCTGCAGCTGATAGGTGGTTCCCCTGCGGCTGTTGTTGGGGTTAGTTTTTCTTTCCCCCGTACTTGTCCCTCCTCCTCAGCCAGAGCCAAAAGCTCCCCTCAGCCTCCTCTGCCAGCTCTTTGGTTGCCTTCTTTAGGTTCCTTCCGGTCACTCCCCTCAGTAGGCGTGTTGTTGACAGCCCCACGTAGCCTCGGCATCCGACTTCCACTGGATAGATTGTAGTCTTCCAGCCAGCCGTCCGGCACTCAGCCGCCAGCTCTGAGTACTTGGCCTTTTTTTAAAAATACTGTATGCTTATTTGATGTATGGCTAACCTCAACACTCAGTATAATGAGCCTAAGTAAAGTAGGTAATTCCACCTTGTGATGTAGATTGAAGCTTTAAAAGTGGGATGACGATTGGTTTTTGTCCAAAATTATATTTACCCGGTGTAAAGCCTGACACTGAAGAGTGGTTTTTACCTATTCTGTTTTCGGTGTATGGAATTAGGTCTCTTTACTGATGCATGCGATTCTTACCCTGTTGTCATAGAACTCAAAGAACAACAATCTGGTAAACTAAAGCGCAGGGCTCTAGTTCTACAAATCACACGTAGTTTTAAAATATATCTGCCAGAATTCATACCTGAATGGAAAATGAAATAGTAAAAAGGATCACTGTGTTAGTCTATTAGTCTAAAACAGTGTGTTTTCAGTTAACACAGAATATTTATGTTTTTATGTACCACCTTAAGTGGCCTAAAATGGACGGTTGTCTTTCTAACTCGCATTCACT